CACTAAAGCGTTCAGTACCTCATTTAATCTCTCCTCCCTGCACTGGCACAGTGCTGCAAAAAGGAAACGGAAAAAATAATCTGGGGACTTCATCAATTTTTCATGAATTTTCATTTAGGCCAGAACCCCCACTTCTCCTGGTCGATAGATCAAGCTGCTGTCATATATTCACCACCTGGGGCTACAGCTGCTATCTCTAGAGGCAGCTGCCCTTGCACAGGGCCTTGAGCTCCTCCTGCTCCCAGATCCAGCGCCCTGGTCCGGTGCTGAAACCCTATCTGTCAGCTCTGCCCTGCGCTCCTGGTGGCCTGGTCGGAAGACCAGGCATTAACTTCTTGAGTGCCAGGTCCTTTGCTTTCGGCTTCTTCAGTTGTTCTCTAATTCTTTAAAAATCGCTTCTTACTTAAAGAGCTTTCTTTGGTTTGAGTGATTTGAAAGTCATTTCTCAACAACTACTTTTTTCCAAATTAAAATAAAAGAAGCAATAATGAGGTATCTCTAATGGCCACTGCAATTACTGATCCTTTATCGTATTGCTCCATTACATAAAGCTGAAATATATAATATGCACAGAGAATATAAACATGCTAGAGAAAAATCAAAGGTTGAGTTCCTCAAAATCAATCAAGATAGATGGCTCTCAGTAAAGTTTCATATTTTATATTATAGCAAAATATAGTATGATTGTAATTACAATAAAAAGCAAGGTGAAGTAAATGGAGCCAAACACACTATTTTAAACAAAGCAATCCTTTCTTAGTAAAAGGCTTTCACAAATTTATCAGTTATCTATATACTTTTTTGAGACAAGAACTCACTCTGCAGGCAAGGCTGATCTTGAACTTCTGGCAATCCCCCTGCCTCAACCTCTTGCATGCTGGAACTCTAGTAGTGCACCACTATACCCAGCTTAGACACATTCCTGCCAACCTAGACACAACCACACCAGTGGTTCTTATCTAACTGTACTCCAGGGACATGTTGCAAGGTCTGGCCCAGACATTTTTGGTTGACACAACGGGCCTAGAGGGAAGTCCAACTGGTATTGTGTAGCCACAGGCCAAAGATGCTTCTAAACAAACAAGTTCCAATATAGAATGATACTCCCATATAGAGAAGCATCTGGTCCCAAATGCAATGGTGCAGCGACATCACAGTATGCCACTCCTCCTTCACGCCTACACTTTCTCACCTTCTGTGCTTGCTCTCCATTGCCAGATACTCTGTACTTTACAGCAATATCCTATGAACATGGTGGAGGCCACTAACTTTCTTAAATATATTTGTTTCCTTGTCATTTCATCGCCCACACCCTCTCCCTCCACTACATCTTCTGAGCCTGAACTTGGCACTGGTACTCCTCTCCTCAGTTCTCTATTAAACCCTGGTGTTCCCAGCAAGGGTCCTGGCCTCACCAGTCCGCAGTCATCTCTGCTCTCGCTACTCCTACAGCCTCAATCTCCACTGGAAAGATGGTTTTCAATTCTGGAAGGCTCTTTGTTGTTGTTGTTTTAAATAGAAATAAGATTTTCTGCCTTAATATCCGTGTGCATGTCGCATAATAAGCCAAACTGACCATACACTCATTTGCACTAGTCGTGTATATGTGAGAATCATACCCCATGTTCCCCAACTGACCATAAAGGGGTATAATTTGTAGATCCCTATGTGATTTGAACCATTTCCAGTAGGTAAGATAAGATCACAGTAGATGAGGCAAGGCTGATAGGTAAGAAAAGCTCATGAGGCTTAGAACCAAATTTCCAGAGTAATGTGTCTTGAGGGACAGAAAAAAGACAAAGCTGATGAGGGAATGGAAGGATCTGAGTGTCACACAGATGAACGTCATATGATCTTGTGCCACCGCAAACGGCCTGCGCTGTTGACGTGGCATCAGATGAAAGAGGTTTACTCACGCGCTAAATCCAATTTGGAAGCCTTCCTATTTTCCTCTCTAGATCATAAGTAATTCAAACATTTCTTAAAGCTCATTTATTTGAAAATAAAAAAAAAATGCTACTGTCACATTACATGAAAAAGAATCACAGTTTAAAATTTTCTTTCTAAAACAGTTTGATCCATTATTAATGATGCAATTAGGAAAGACAGTAATCCGTTTAGTTGAAATAAAAATAAAAGATGCATGTGTGTTGGGAGCAATTTTAACAAAGCTAAAACTCAGAGAAACAAGTGTTTATGACTGCCTCATACTAAAATGATTAGCCAGTTTAGATAAACTTTAATTTGGGGAAGCAAGATTAGCTAAAGATTTAAAAACAATTATCGATGTTATGTACTTAAAAGAAAAAAAAATGGTGGAAAAAAAAAACCCACTTCATTTATTTAAAATAAACCAGGGGTGCCTGGGAGATGGCTCAGTGGAATAAGCGCTTCCCTGGCAAGCGCAAGGGTCTGAGTTCAATCCCTGATTCCACCAAAAAAAAGAAAAAAAAAAAGAAAAGAAAAGAAACCAGGGGCTGAGGAGATAGTTTGGTGGTCTAAGAACCTGCCTGGCAAACACAAGGGCCCAGGTTTGATCCCCAGTACTGCATGCCATGCTGGTCCCTGAACCCAAAGTGCACCATGCCAACCTGAAAGCGGGCATGGTTGTGCACACCTGTAACCCCAGCACTGGGGAAGCTGAGACAGGAGGATCACTATGAGTCCAGGCTACACAGGGAGACCCTGTACCAAATGAATAAAGATTTTTAAATAAGCCAGATTTTATAGGATGTTTCTTCTCATAGCATTAACAGTTAGGAGCCTGTGGCCTGCTCCTGGATTCCTCACTAACTTATTATCTGCCTGCTGGTCAGTCAGCATCCTTAGTTTCATCTGCTTTCACCATCTTACCTATAAAGAGGGAAAACAATTTGTCCTATTAACATAAAGGAAATGGAGGGGTGTAAGTCCGCAGAATTTGCCACGGAGATATTTAAAATGTTTGAACTAAGTTCCAGAAATGAGATATTTCAAGTTAAAAGTGGAAAAGATAGAATTTGTATTACTGATGTATTGTTTATATATTTAAAATATCAATAAAGTGAACATAATCTCAGTTTTTATTGAAATTGTGTTTTATTTGAAAAGGGAAAGACTTGGTCCCTGGTGCGAAATGGCTTCACTTTCTAAGGTTCTTCTATTTACATATCTGAAGGTTGCTTTCATAAAAAGCTGGGATCAGAGGATGTTTTGCTATTGGAGTTATATACATTTCAAGCTTCCCTAGGCTCCAGGTTTTTCCTCGTAAAAACTGTCAATCAGAAGCCTGGATGATGAACGCAGCTTCTATTGGGCTAGCTGACTAGAGATAGTAGAGTATGCTTTCATTTGTAAAGATCAGGATATATTATTTAGAATTCCATATACACATACCTGTTGAGTAGTACAGTAAGAAACTCTGTGGCATACAATTACAACTACCAGCTTATTAAAGTTAAGCTACCAGGATCTCTCATCTAGTGAGCAGCTCCCAGTTTCCACAGAAAGGCATACGCATCTGAATTCCTCAACTACACTTCTCTGTGGAAATCTACAAGAGGACCAGAGAGTTTAAAAGTACAGACTTTTTGTAGCTGCAATTAGTTACCATCTGTCTCAGTTACTTTTCCCTCATTATTAGGACAAAATATCTGTCACCCAATATTAAGGAGGGAAAGGTCTATTTAGCTCACACGTAGTGGGGTTTTCAGTCCATATTCAGCTGGCTCCAAGGCAGAGTGGCACATGGCAGAGGGCAGCAGTTCATGGAGGCAGAAATCAGTAAAACATGAGGAAAAAGGCAGGTGCAGTGGCAGCCACGGTGGCAGCGGAGGCAGAGAGCGAGCCTCTCCTTCCTTACACCACGCCCAGGCTGTCTGCCCAGGACAGGGGTAGCACTCACACCCATAATCCTAGCATTGGATCATGAATTTATCACAAGCTGTAGAAGCCGCCCCAGTGACTGCAGGATGCTTTCTCAGGACAACTATATGCAACCTATAACGCCATCCTATTCATAATTCATTTTAGATAAACACTTCCCTCAAAACAAATAATTGACATTACATACTACTATTTAAATTACAATTCCAATTCCTTACCTGTAAGCCAAAGTAATCTGTCATATACCACTAATTTGTTTTATAAAACAATACATGAAGTAAACAGATCCATGCAATCTGTGTTAAATAGATGTAAAGTGTTGATAATTTGATTTAGTGTTGCTATTGGGGCTAAATGATGAATATATACATGTACAAGAAACAAAATTAAAGAACTCAAAAAAAGATGCTCACAGGAGGGCAAGTGCTTTGCTAATGCTGATGATCAAAATTAAACAGAAACAGGAGGCACTCCTATGTGTGAACATGTACGAATCCATCATAATAACTAAAATATAATTTCTGTTATTGAGGCTTCCCCCATTCCATATTAGAATAATCATTCCTGAATTCAGCCTGGAACAAAAAGAGTAAGATAATCTAGAGATAAGAACATATGTGCTTCTGAAAACTTACAAAACTTGTAGAAGTCACATATACATATAAATTATATTTACAGTCATAGAATTATATAATATTTAACTTACAGTTATAGTCAGACAATGGTATTATATATAATTTGTGTCATATTTATGGCTTTATGAATGCATCATATGTGACTATATAGAGAACTTATGCCTTGTATTTAATGCCATGTTACATGTCAAGGTTGCATTTTAACACAAGTAACCTTAATACTTGAGTATATCCTTCACCAATAATTCAAATTTTAAGTATGATCAGCATCCTGTATTACTGCCTGCTTCAATGAAGCATAATTCCCACATTGATATTGAATAAACATATTACTGGCAGCACTTAGACTGATTATCTTAACAAGTTTTCTTTGGAGAAATCAAAGTAAAACTGTGTGGGAAAAGTGTTTTGTTTTATCCTTTAGGTATCAATATTGCTGAGAGAAAAATCTAAGCTTAATAAAAAGAAATAAAAGCACGCAGAATTGCGGAGCTCACTTACATGCCACCTCCAGGGAAGCATTGCGACTCACGGCTTCGCCCAGGTAGTTCCTCGCCACACAGACGTAGCTGCCCTCGTCGGGTTTGCTTCTGCGCCCATGCACGATGCGCAGGAAGAATAAGGACCCGCTGGGCAGAAGCATCCTGTGGGACCGGGGGTCGTCCTTGTCCGTCTCCACTCGCTCTCCATCCTTGTACCACTCGATGGTGGGCGTGGGCCGGCCCTCGGCCTTGCAGTTCAGAGTGGTGGGCTCACCCTTGGAGACGATGACGTCCGAGGGGTGCTCCACGATCCGCGGGGGGAAGTCTTCCTGGCGAAGGCGAGATCCTGCGGAACAGGATAGAATGAGGAAATCGCATTTTATTTATTTATTTATTTTTCTGTATTTTAGGAAAGGTCTACAGGGTGTTCAGGGTCTCACTACTAGATAGGACTGGTAGTGATTTTCATATTTACAGCCTCCCAAGAGCTGGGATTACAGGCACGCGCCATCACACCCAGTCTCCATCACTGTCTCAGCACGCCCTGGGGTCAGGGCCAGCGCGGCACAACCGGGGATCGAACCCCTGACATCTGCACCTGGGAAGTAACATTTTAAAACAAGGTCTAAAATGAACAAGACTAAATGTCCTCTAAATGTTTATTAATTATTGAGTAAGAAAACCAAGTACACCAGTACTTAGAAGGCACACATAGATACCATACATGTGCTGGAGCTAGGTTACCAGAATTGAACACAATAGACACTTGTAAATTACAGACTATATTACCTTCATTAACAGATGTGGAAGCCACTTAAGAACTAGTATCAATTTTCCAAAAATGTATATTAAATAATCAGAGGCAGCACCTGAATTCAGGTATCTCTGAATAAGGAGCTCAAGTATAAGTTATTATGTCAAATGAGGTCAGGACTATGTAGTATTACAAGAAATGCATTACAGGGAAAAAGAAACAAATGCCAACCATAATTGGAAAATAATAAAAGAGCTCTTGCAAATGATAACTTTTACACATGCTCTCACCATTGAGCTATCCACCATCCTGTGATGCTCCAAGAGGCCCTCACTAGAGCCAGCAGATATTCCCATCATGCTCTTCACATTCAAAATCGGAAATTAAATAAACGTTTTCTTTAAGATAGCACTTCTCACTTTATAAAGTATTCAGCCTCAGATACTTTGTTATATCAACAGAGGACAGACTGGTATAGTAACAATCACTTCCTTGTTGTCAAAAAACTAACAAGAAATAAAGAAAGACTTATTGGCATTTTAAGATCAAATTTGTTGTGCTGGTCAAAGAGATAGCTCAACGGTCTAAGCACCTGCCTGGCAAGTGTAAGAGCAAGGGCCCGGGTTCCATCCCTGGTACCACAGTGCCAACTCTGCCTTGGGAGTGCCTAGCAGGCCACTGAAACCAGGGTGTGGTGGTACATGCCTGTAATCTCCTCTATGGTGAGGCTTAAACAGAAGGATCACTATGAGTCTGAGCTGCAAGGTAAGACCCTGTAACAAATACATAAAATTAAAAAAAAAAAAACCTGTTGTGCTGTTTTGGATACTTATAATTTATAAGAAATAAGTGGAAATATCCTATCTCCTGTGGCAAATCAATCAAAAGAAAAGCCTACACACAATAATCATGTCTTCTGACATGATATAGATAAGAGCTTCTCTTTTTGCAGAACCGGGGATTGAACTCAGAACCTCGCGCTTTCTAGGGGAGCACTTATTCCACTGAGCCATTTCCCTGGCCCCCGATAGCTTCTTATAAGTTTCCTATGATATTTCCATCCAGTCATCCACTATTAGCATATTTCTGCTTCATAACCATTAGTAAAATTTACTCGGCAATGTAATCCCAGTTCACTTTTTTTTCTTTCTTTCAGTACCAGGGATTGAACTCAGGACCTTGCACTTGCCAGGCAAGCGTTTATTCTACTGAGCTATCTCCCTGGTCATTGGCTCACTTTTAATACTGATGAAAAATGCATACTTTAATAAAAGGAAGTGAATTTGGCCATGCACAAATCTTTTCTTTTATGAAACAATTAACTTTTAAATTACTGACTGCCACTTTTTATCCATTAAATCCAATAAATGAACATTTATATTACAAGTGTTGAGTACCTGTAGCAAAAGAATAATTTGCAGCACACAGGTAAGAATGGTAAAATAGAAGTAAGAACTGGCACAATGCTTACATGCCTCACAATGTTAAAGGATATATTTCAGGTAGCAGGTCGTGTGGGAAAAATTAAGAATTTGAAGAATAAAAATAAGTAACAATTATCTTTGAAGTATTCCAAAGTATTTAAATAAGGGTGGCTAAATAGTTTGTGAATTTGTTGTTAAATCTTAAATGTAAAGATCTGAGCCCATGGCCACAGAATCTAACTGTAAAAGCACATTAATAGTGTTATGTTGTTCTTAATTTAACAGAAAACTTAGAAGGCTGTAATCACCGCTTCTAGATATCTTCACCATTTTCCTCTGGTCTCCTATGTACAATACCTACATTATCATCACTGTAAATATAGCATACTATTAAAAGGAGGGATATCAAGTCTTCCTGCATCTCGGGTGACATTTTTGTAGCAAACAGTCTCTTAGTCTACCCTCTCTTCAAGTTAGTAGTCTGGATAGCCCTAAACAAGATATGAAGTATTCTAAATAAAATTTAAAATAATGAATTTTAAAGACAGGAGGAAAAATATGCCTTTTAGTAATAAGATGTAAAATGTGACACATACAATAAATGATGAAACTTTTAGTTATTTATCTTTTTTATGAGCAGAATATATTTATTGGGGGAAAGAAAGCTCCTGTCCCAGAGAGGGACAGGATTGGGGGGCAGGTGAGCGGGTTGTCCCCCTAGTTATTTATCTTTATGACACATGTATCTATGTTACAAACTTTAATGTCACATTAGGATACACTATTCTTACAGGCATTTTATTATTATTAAAAACATCTTTAAAAGAACAACTGCTAATTTTAAGATTAAAAACTATCAATTAAAAACAAATTAGAGCAACAAATTTCCATAATATTTTCAATTTGAGAAAATATCTTTGAATCTGAAACTAAAAGCATAAAGGCAGAAATAGACCAACTAGACTTCATAAAACTTTTAAATATTTATGTTTAAAAGAACACATTAAATAAGACAGTTTACAGAACCATAGAGAAAATTTGTAAATCATTTTCCACCTGAGATATATATTTAAAATATGTAAAGAATTCAAAATTAAACATTTTTAAATGAACAAAGAACCGTCATAAAATAGACAAAATGTTAAGCAAATATCTAGTAAGCAAATAAAAAGATAAAATCACAGTACTTTACATTTTTATGTCTACCATTCTAAAAATAAGGTAAGATAACAATTGTGAGGAACGCAGAAAAACTGAAAGCCTCACACAGTGCTCACTGGGAGAAAAGTAAAACATAAAGCCACTTTGGGAGACAACGTACAAGTGTCAAACATACAGTTACCATGTCACCCAATAATTCCACTGCTATCTGTATACCTTGGAAAAATGAAATCATACATCCACACAAAACATACACAAATATTCATACTGGTATTTTTCACCATACCTAACAGCAGAAACATACTAGTACCATTAACTCAATGCATAGTGATCAATGAATTAAAAATATGTATCATGTATGAATAAATGGGATGTATTTATGAAAGAAATATTATTCTTATACAAATGAATAATGGTCCTGATACACAGATATGATGGATGAATCTTTAATTCATCAATGAAAGAAATTAGTCACCAAAAATTATATAGTGTACAATTTCATTCAGATGAAACGTCCAGAACAGGAGAATCTGCAGATGAAGACATAGTAGTGATGACCCAAGATACAGGGAATGGGCTGGAGGAGAAGGGAGACAGAAGATTTACTACTAATGAGGATGGGCTCCTGAGAATGTGATCAGAATACTCTGAACCTGAATATGGTAATGGTTGTGGAACGCTGTGAAGACAATAAAGCCATATTATTTTTATTTCATTAATTGATTGATTGATTAATGTATTTGGTTGTTGCAGGGTATCGCTATGCAGCTTGGACTCATAGAGACCCTGCTGCTTTCCGACTCCCCACCCCTGGATTACAGGTGTGCGCCACTGCACTCGGACTCTGGCTGGCCCAGCCCACCCGAGGGCGGGGCTGCTGCCAGGGAGCAAACCACGGTCCTAGTTTTGCCTAAGCAGGCGCTTTGTACAGCTGAGTTATCTTGCTGCCCCCATACTGTGTTTTTAAATAGGTAAATTTTGTAATATAGGAATTGTAGCTCAGTGAAGCCATTTTAGGAAGACAATGAGTAGGATTATTAAAAAATGTTTTAACATAAAGTGCAGGGGCCGGGGAGATACCTCAGTAGAATAAGCGCTTGCCTGGTAAGCGCAAGGGCCTGGGTTCCATCCCTGGTTTTGCCAAACAAACAAAA